CCGCGCGCGGCCGAGGAAGACTCGGCCTCACCCCCCGGCGCCGCCAGCGACGCGGAGCTGGGCGACGAGGAGCGGCCGGGGCTGCAGGTGGACTGCGTGGTGTGCGGGGACAAGTCGAGCGGCAAGCACTACGGCGTCTTCACCTGCGAAGGCTGCAAGAGCTTCTTCAAGCGGAGCATCCGCCGCAACCTCAGCTACACCTGCCGGTGAGCCCCACATCCGAGCCCCGCCGCTTGCACCGGGCCCAGCCTGGCCTGGGCCCTGACCTGCTCGGTCACCTTGGGCCTGGTGCTGACCTTCCTGGGCCTCCACTCTCCCTCTGAGGTAGGGGCACAGCCCCCTGCCCCCCTCTCCCTTCCATTCCTGGGAATGTGTATACAGTCGGCGCTGTATAGATGCTGTTCCTCCCATCAGGTGGTCCCTTGAGTCTTCAGCCCCAGTTCCTCGCTGCTCTCTCCCTGGCTTTTCTCCAGGAGGGGGCATCTCCCCTCGAAGAGGTTTTGGGGTGCTGTCAAAGGTGGGACCTTAACCCCAGGACACCCGTTGGGAACGTTGTGCGGGGACCCCGCGGGAATTGAAGGTGGAACTTGGACTGTGCAGCTCGCAGCGTCCAGGGGCCATTGTCTGCGGCCTCAGGGATCGATACGGCGCGCCCTTGGGGTCAAATATCACTTCCAAAGTCGCCCTGGCCAAGGGAGATGTTGGCAAAAGTGAGGCCAGGGGGCACAGGGTGGCCTCCTTCCCATGGAGGACCCTATTGTTGGGGGGAGCCGGACCAGCCTATCCATGGGCACCCACCCTGGGCTCACCCTGGGCAGTGGGTCACTGGAAACGCTGCTGGAGGGTGGGGAGGGCAGGTGGATTTGACCCATACCTCTGCTGCTCCACCCCAGCAGCCAGGAGTAGGATGAGACCTGGGACTCCTGGAAAATCCCTGAAACTTAGGTGGCTCCACTTAGGGTGCGGTGAATGTTTCCGAGAAGGCCTGGATTGTGCTAGGTTGGAGTCCCCATTAAGAGGGCGGGCTTTGCTAGCTTCTTTGGTTAGAGCTGGGGTTGGGTGTCCAGCCCAGGTCCCCCTTCCCACCACTCTTGGGTGAGCATTTTTTTTGCTCCATTGACAGGCCCCTACTCTGAGTCCCACACGAACATGCCTGGGCTCTGCAGAGCCATTATGGGGATCCCCATTTTCCATATGCGTAAAACTGAGTCTAAGAGAGGTCCTGGTGTCTGTTCTGGGTCACCCAAGGAGAGAACCTGCCCCAATTGGGGCTTAGCAAGGGGAACCGTGGGGTGGGGAAGAGAGAGGTGGCTAAGTTGGGGTCAGGGCCCTCCCCAGGGAAGGCTTGCTGGAGAAGCTACTGGGCAGATCCCTGGGCACCTGGAGTTTGGCCCCAGGTCTGAGGTCAGGGCTTGTCTGGGGTGGCTGTGCCTGCGTGCGTGCATGCGTGCGTGCGTGTGTGTGTGTGTGTGTGTGTGTGTGAGAGAGAGAGAGAGAGAGAGAGAGAGAGAGAGAGAGAGGGAGAGAGCTGATTTCCTCCCTCCTCCAGTGCTAACTGGGCCACCAGACTGGCCTCATTCTTGCTGCTGGAATAACTGCCTGCTTTCTGGCCGGGTCTTTGGGGAGGGTAAAGGAGGGGCTCAGGCAATTTTGGGGTCCCAGAGGCTCCCTGAGGGCAGGAGCACCAAAGTGGGGGAGAGGAGACATTGTTAGGGGCTGACAGGTTCTTCCGAAGCTCAGGGCTGTCACCAGGTGACATCACTGCTCCTCAGCAAAGTTTCCTCAGGGCCCATCCTGGGTGGTGTGATGCCAGCCCCCCGGAGAGACTCTTGCTCCAAGCCCAGCCCTCTTATAGTCTGATGGAGACACAGTGAGATGCAGATGCACAGAGCCTTTGGGGTCTGGGCTGGGCCAGGCCAAAGGGAGGGATAGTTCTGGGGTTTCAGGAGAGAAGACTGCCTGGAGGAGGGCAGCAGGAGATGGCCTTAAAGTGAGGGGTTTGGTCCAGGCAGATGTCCAATGGCAGGTTGGGGGAGCATTGTTGTAAGATGAGACCACTAAGGCATGGGAGAAGTTAGAATTGAGTGAGCCTGAAATGCTAGACTGAGGTTGCCACAGGGAGCCATGGAGGGTGTGTGAGCAAGGGAGGGCTCTGATCAAATTGAACTAGAAGCCATAAGTCCAGGGAGGAAGCTTAGTTGGGCCCTGGGGTTGGGCCAAGCATGTGCTTTTTAGGTAGGATAATAGAACTTTCTGTTTCCCCATCTGGAGAAACAGGAAAGCTGTCTTGACTTCAAAGCTGGGGAAGTTGAGGCAGAAGGTTCTGGGCCTCCCCTCAGGTGAGGGGGGCCCTGATGTGGGCCCCTGCCTGCCCACCCAGCCACCCCAGGCCTGGCTGTTTCCAGGCTGCTGCCCCCAGCTTGCTGCCAGGACCCTCCCACTGCCTGCCTGCTGGGCTTTGTTCTGGTTCTGCCTGAGCTCCCTCCGCCTCCTCCTGGGGGCTGGGGCTGTTTAGGGGCAGAAGCCTGGGCTCAGAGGCTGCCACTTGCAGGATCCAGGCACTCAGAGGCCCTCCAGAGCCTCAGCTCTTCTAAAGCTGTCATTGGCACTCCCTGCTGGGGCCTGGGGCTTGGGGCCTGACCCTCCCCTTCCCCAGTGCATTTCATATGGAGCTGGCATCTGGCCTCCCATTTCCAAATGAGGAAACTGAGGCTTCGTAGAGAAGTTGCTGCTAGAGGGTCAGGGCTGTATATCCAGCTGAGAGGTGATTTTTAACTTTATTAAGTGTTTTACTCTGTGATTTTCTCTGGGTGAACAACTTGGTGCTCAGCTGTTAGCTCAGGGGTGTCTGCCCCAGGTCTGGGCCCCAGAGAGCCCTGAGCCCAGGGTGGAGAGAGTTATGGAGGGGCAGGGGCCAAGGGGAAGAGGTGCTGGGGACATATGAAGAAGCAGCTCCTGAATCCTTCTTCTTGCGGTTGACTCTGGACAGGGAGCTCAGCTCACTGCCTCTCAGGGCTGGGCTACCTGTCCCATACCTGGGAGAGGCAACAACAATCCCTGAGGGCCACTAGAAGGAAGCTTCTTGGGCTCAGTTAGGAGTTGGAAGGTCTTCGCAGAGGAAGAGACATGGGTATGGGGTCTTAAAGTGGGGACAGGAGTTTGTTCGTTCATTCATTCATTCATTCATTCATTGATTGGTGGCAGCCTTGTGTAGGACAGTAATGCTGGCACCCCACAGTGCTGTGATCCCATAGAGGACTGCCCTGGTCTGGCCTGGCCTCTACTCTCTTAGTCAACTCATAAAGCCTAGCTCCCTGACTATGTATCTTCTCTGCTGTCCATTGCCCTGGGACAAAGACCCCACCCCTTAGCCTCACAGTGACTACATAAAATGAAATGTTTAGGCCTCCATATTTTCACATTTCCAACTTTTTGCTCTCCTTGCACTCTCTCCTTATAATTGCCTTTCCATTCACCTCGGGAACTATTCATCCTTCAAAATCCAGTTCCAACATACCCTCCCCCATGTGCTGATCTACTTTGTGACAGACTCTTATTCATCCGTCAGCACCCACCCCCAATTGTCCTTTCTTCTTTGTAGACCTGCAGGCTTAGCCTCTGTGCCCCTTTGGGCCACCTGCCCAGCCTGGGGTGGGTGGGTTACCAGTGTTTCCCAGGTGCAGCCTTCACAGTTGGCTCATAGGGTGGCTTGGGGAGCAGGACGTGGGTGTCACAGTGACCGTGACCCACATGGTGACCTCTGCATCCCCACAGGTCCAATCGTGACTGTCAGATAGACCAGCATCACCGGAACCAGTGCCAATACTGCCGCCTCAAGAAATGCTTCCGGGTGGGCATGAGGAAGGAGGGTGAGTCTCTGCTGGGGTGGAGCAGACAGAGGGTAGACAAATGGCCCGCCCTTCACTCTCTCTCTCGGGGTCTAGTGCCTGCTAACCTCATTACCACCGATCTGAGATCCCATGGGCCTCAGTCTGGCCCAGGGCTGGAGGAATCCAATTATCCGTGGCTGCCCGGTGGCTGTGCTGGAGCTGAGGCTGCAAGGGATGCCCTGACTTGGGCCCATGTTAGGACTGTTCTCTGGCCCCCCTGGCCTCAGAGGCAGTACTTCCAGGTGGGCCCTGGCCCTGACACCTCAGTGACCCCCTGCCCCCACCCTTAGCCTGGCCACTGCTTTCTGAACAAGGACATATTTTTCTATTTGACTTTCTCTCCCTCCCCACTCCACCCCTGCTTTATGTTTGCCCAAGGCAGGAACTTGCCCGATTAAGTCAAAGGGCAGCCTGTCCTTCTGCCTGACCCCTGGCCCTGGGAGCCAGAGGGAGGCCCAGCCTCTTGTCTCTGCCCTGGGGACTTGGGTGGATATGTGCTGGCAACTGGCCCTAGAACTCCACCCTTAGAATTGAAGTGGAATGTAGAGACTTCCACCAGAGACTTCCACTAGAGCAGAATCTGGCCCCCATGCTAGGCGTCATGTCTCTGCCTGGACTCTCACAGGCCAGGCCAGCAGTTCTTCTTTGCATTTAAATGGAATCTTTCCTGGTCTAAAGTTCATTTCTTCTCTGTTGGGCCTCCAGAAGGAGCTAGGAACAGCTGCTCAGACTCTGTTTCTTAAACCATCTGGTTATTCCCTTTGGTCCTGTTAAGTTTGAGGTGACTCTCCTGCCTCCTTCCCCCACCTAGATTTGCCTCTTCTTGTCCATTTGACCTAAAATCCCTCTGTACTTCAAATCGGCTTCAGATCTCCTGTCTCAGGAGTGGATACCATCATAATTGCAGGTCATGCCCCAAGCACAGTCCTACCTCAGGGCCTTTGCATGGGTTCTTCCTTCTGCCTGGCACGCTCTTCCCCCAGACACTTGCATGGCTTCCTCCCTCACTTCCTTTAAGGTTTGCTTAAACAACACTTCCTAGAGAAGCCTTCCTGACTACCCTTCATCCTCCTTGATTTTGCACCATTTACCTTGCTCTGCATTTTACTTGCTCCCTTACCAGAATGTCCACTCTCTGACGATGGACTTCTCTCTTGTTTTCTGCCATATCCCCAGTGTCTATAGACCAGGTCCTAGAACACAAAAGGTGCTCAATAAATGTTTCTTGGCTTGAATTGCTATCCATTGAGCCCTTACTATGTACCAAGTGCTGTTCTAAGCAAGTTAGATAGATTCTTATGTAATTCAGTGATGGGTATCATCATCTTTATTATTATCTCCTAAATTTTACAGATGAGGAAACTGAGCACAGAGCAGAGAGGTGAGGCTATTTGCGAGGATATGAGAGCAGTAGAGTTATGATTTGGGCTTGAACCCACACATTCTGGGCTGAATGAGGAGGAAGACTGGGGAAAGTATGCTCAGGAAGTGGGAACAGCAAGTACAAAGGCCCTGAGGTGGGAACATGGCCAAGGGATGGAGGAATAGTAGGGGTGGGGTTTAGAACCAAGTGAGCAAAGGGGTTAGGAGAACGTCCCCCAACATCCGAGAGCACGGCTTAACCAAGCCCCTGCTTCTGCCCCCGGCTCTGTCCATATCCCCCTCTCCATCTGCTCCATTGCAAGTTGACCAGAAGTTTATGGAGGTGGCAAGACAGGGCCTGCCAACTCAGTAAAGCTCAGTCTCTGTCTGGCACCCAGCCTAGCCTGCCCCTCTTTCCACCTACCTGGTCACTGGGGACAGTGGCTGAGGCCAGCAGTGTGTACTCCACCTCCTCATGGTCAAGACTACTAATGGTAGCTAATGTTTATTGTGCACCCACTACTGTCCAGGATTCCATTTTCAGCACTGGGGCCACTGCAGTGACCCAGAAAGACAGATCCTCTTGGGGGCCATGACCTGGGGGGCAGGGCTCGGAGCTAGAGAAATGACCTGATCTCCATAGGTGAGATTACTTGCTTATGGACAAGCTAGCCAAGGTCCCAAGTCCTGGGAAAATACTGTCTCCCTGGCCTTACTTTCAGCTCTGGGACTTCCTTGATTGATAGATAGGGGCATGATTGACAGGTCAAGCATCCCTGGCTGCTGAATGGAGCTCACACAGTCCAGTGGGAGAGGGCTACCTATGCTTGAAATTTGTCCCCACCCAGTGGTCCCATTCCCACCCAGGAAGGTCCCCCCCAATCATGGTCCTTCTCTGTAGGAAGTTGGGTGGGGTTGGGGGCTGGACAAGGGCTCAGGCTGGAGGCACAAGGCAGAGCAGGGAGGAGCCTTCAGAACGCTGGCCCTTGGCCTCCCAGCCAGCTGTGTGCCCATGGGGTGGGGTTGGGGGTTTCAGGGAAAGGCTAGGTGCGGTGGGCCTTAGAGGGGAGCCGCTGAGTGACCCTCCGATGACTTTGTCTTTCCCCCTTTATTTCTCCCTACCTGCTTACCACGATTCTCTGGATATCCACTTTCCCTATTCCTTCCCTCCTCCTCCCTCTCCCTGCCACCTCTCTTCTCCCTCTCTACCCTCCCATGTTCCTTCATCCTCCCCCTTACCCATTTTCATCATTCCTCCCCCATCTCCTTACCCCTCATCCCTTCTCCCCTCTCCTGTCTCCCCCATCTCCTGTCCCCCCTCTCCCCTCCCTCCTGCCCCTCTCTCTCCCCCCTCCCAGCGGTCCAGCGTGGCCGCATCCCGCACTCGCTGCCTGGTGCTGTGGCCGCCTCCTCGGGCAGCCCCCCGGGCTCGGTGTTGGCTGCAGCGGTGGCGGGCGGGGACCTCTTCCCGGGGCAGCCTGTGTCGGAGCTGATCGCGCAGTTGCTGCGTGCCGAGCCCTACCCCGCAGCGGCTGGGCGCTTTGGCGGGGGCGGCGGTTCGTCGGGCGCAGTGCTGGGAATCGACAATGTGTGTGAGCTGGCAGCACGGCTGCTGTTCAGCACAGTGGAGTGGGCACGCCACGCGCCCTTCTTCCCTGACCTGCCGGTAGCCGACCAGGTGGCGCTGCTGCGTCTGAGCTGGAGCGAGCTGTTCGTGCTGAACGCTGCGCAGGCGGCGCTGCCCCTGCACACAGCGCCGCTGCTGGCCGCAGCTGGTCTGCACGCCGCACCCATGGCCGCTGAGCGCGCTGTGGCCTTCATGGATCAGGTGCGCGCCTTCCAGGAGCAGGTGGACAAGCTGGGCCGCCTGCAGGTTGACTCCGCAGAATACGGCTGCCTCAAGGCCATTGCGCTGTTCACACCTGGTAAGATGCACTCCAGAAGGGGGACTGGGGGACTCTGTGGGGATGGGGGATGACCCCATAACCCTTCACTCTCTGACCCCCTGCCTGCCAGACCTGTGGCCCTGCACCTGCTGTGAGTGCTAATGGGGGCAGTGGAGGAGCTGATATAGGAGGTGTGATGTCCTGATGCCCCCATCCTAGATCCCAGGTCTCCCTATGAACTCGGATTCTGGTCCCTAGACCCCAGGCTGGGTCTAGACTGGTGACTCAGTTTCTAATAGCCTCTCTGCCTGATTTTTGGTCTCCCTGAGACACCCCCACCCCACTCTCCACCCTCTCTTCAAAGTGCTCTTTGTGGTCAATAAGCCCTGCCAGCAGAGAGGCGGGGTCACAGGAGGGGAGGTCCCTGATACCTGGTCTGGCCCCTTCTGCCCCCTACTACTCCCTGATCCCCAGGCCCCCGAGTCCTCTGCTGCTAGTTCCCCAGATCAGGGTGCTCTTCTTACTTAGCACTTATGAAGGGCTGCCAGGCAGGGGTGCCCTGACACCTGGTTCTGGGTCCTCCCCTAATTTCTGTGACCCCAGACCTCTGACCCAGAGCCCCCAACCTGCCCCTGGGGCAGCCTCCAGGGCTGCACTGGATTGAGAAGGGGTGTGGCTTTGAGGTCCTTCCCATTGAGGAGGGGTGAGGCTGTCCTAATATCTTCCTTTCCAGTTGTAACTAACTACCCAGCTGCCAAAGCCCTACCTAATTCTAGGGACTGGTGGCATAGCTGGCACTGTAACCTGGAAGGTTCCAGACCCTACTAGGTGTCTTCTTGGGGCCAGGGATGCAGGAACCAGACCCAGGCCATTCTGAGAGGTGGCTTTCATGTGAAAAATACAGCTTTGCCTTCCTTCTTTCCCAAGAAGACTCCTCTGCCCCCCACCTTCAGGGGGCCCCATCTAGACACTGTCACATTCACTTAAGCCCCAGGTCCCTCTGGACCTTGCCTTCCTCCCCAAGCCCCCTCCCCAGTCCACTGTTTCCCTTGAACTTGATTAGAAGTTGCCTCCCTGACAAGGCCTCAGTTAGGGCCCCATCTACCCTTGAGGTATCATTGCATGCGCTTTTGTGTTATTGTCCTCAGATGAGGTCACCTCCATTATCTTTTGGGAAGTGACACTTTCTTAGACACCCCCACTCTTGCCCCAGGTCCCTATCTCCCACCTCCTGAGTGCCCCACTCCCTCTATATCCATAGCCCCAATGGTGTCCCCAATCACCCCTGGGGCTGTGTGTCCTCTTGCCACATCCTACCCCATCTGACCTTGTCCTTCCAGATGCCTGTGGCCTCTCGGACCCCGCACATGTGGAAAGCCTGCAGGAGAAGGCACAGGTGGCCCTCACTGAGTATGTGCGGGCCCAGTACCCATCCCAGCCGCAGCGCTTTGGGCGCCTGCTGCTGCGGCTCCCCGCCCTGCGTGCTGTCCCTGCCTCCCTCATCTCCCAGCTGTTCTTCATGCGCCTAGTGGGCAAGACCCCCATCGAGACGCTGATCCGAGACATGCTGCTGTCCGGAAGTACCTTCAACTGGCCCTACGGCTCAGGCCAGTGACTGGACAGGACCCAGGGCACCATGGCAGGGTCTGCAGACCTCAAGGGATGTGGCTGCTCGAGCCTCAGGGGCGATCCACAGACAGAGGACCCCAGCCTCTCTCCTCAGACTATTTTTTAAAGACTGTGAAATGTTTGTCTTTTCTGTTTTTTAAATGATCATGAAACCAAAAAGTGACTGATTGTCCAGGCTCTGGCCTCGTCCTCCCTAGAACCTACTGGCCAAGATGGGGGGAGGGACTGAGGTTCCAATCCTTGGACAGTCTTGTCCCTCAGTGCCTCAGGCATGAACTCATGGGATGGTGGAGTTGGCTTCCTGCTGTGATGGACAGAGGCCTGGTGTCTAGACTGGAGGGGCAGCTGCAGCCAGGCAGGAGTCGCGTGCACCAGGTAGCTTCTCTGTACACATGATCCACGTTGGACACTACATGGTAAATGAATCAAGGCCAATAATAAAGGTGTTTCCTACCTGCAGTCTCTGTTATTTTTTCCCCTGTTGATTTTTAGAATGAGTGGAAGGAAAGGAAGGGGGGAAGAGGCAGAGAAACATGGATGTGAGAGAGACACCGATTGGTTGTCTCCCGCACACGCCCCGACTAGGGCTGGCGATCGAACCTGCAGCCCCGGTACATGCCTTTGAACAGGAATCGAACCTGTGGTTCTTTGGTGTGTGGGCCAATGCTCTAACCACTGACCCACACCGGCCAGGGCTCCATCATCTTGAGGGGAGGGCAGCCTACCATGGGGACCCACTTCTGCCACCTGGAAAACCCTCAGTGTGACAACAGCCCTACTTGCTGTTTGTATTGGACAGAGTTGTGGGGAAACAGACTGGGGTGGGGTGGGGTGGGGGGCTGAATCTGTAGAAGTTAAGCCTAGCAGATGGCTCAGGTTCAAATTCAGGCTCTGACTTCAGAGAGTGAGCCTCACAGATTCATACATGCCCTGGACCAAACACCTCATTGTTTGGTCAGCTCTTAATCATGGCATCTGGCCCCGGTGTCCGCAGGGAAAACATCTGGGGCTAGTTCTGTCACTTGATAGCCCAGACAGGGCCCTCCATTTCCCTGGCCACCATGATTGGTTTGGGGAGAGCATGTGGCCTAGAGCTGGCCAGTGAGATTGGATGGTGGGATTTGGAACTAGGAGGATACAATCAAAGTAGAGCCAAAAGAGGATCAACTTCCCAGAATGCCTTAGGAGCCCCTAGATAAAGCCATCCTGGGAACCCTTGGTTGTATCCATTCCATGAGCCCAGACTTCCCCCTTTTGTGCCTGAGCCAGTTTGAGTCCACGTGTAACTAAAAAACTTGTTTTGGAGACTGGCGTTTGGAAGGTGGGAACCTTTAAGGACAGACTTTGAAATGTGGACTTGAGTTGATGTGGAATGATGCAGATCACCAGGGACCTTGTCATCCTGGCTTCTAGTTTGCAGCCCAGCTCTATGATGTCAAAGGCACCTATGGGAGTTACTGCCAGGACTGTGGCTCTAGGGGGCAGGTAGAAAGGGCCTGGATGGTGGTGGGGGTGGCACCTTGGCCCTGACTGAGGTCTTATCAGACAGAGGGAAGCCCTCCATCAAAGATGTCCCTTTGAAGACAGGGAAGAACTTGGGTCTCACCCTGTAGGCTGGGCCAGTGCTTACCCTTTAAGGCAGTCCCAGCCCTCCCAAAAGCTCCTCATTAGCACCCCAGCCTCCCCCATGTCCATTGTAGAGGCCTAGGAATTGATGAGAGTCTTGTGAGTATGCCCTGCCCCCAGAAGGGGACTGAAGTGGGAGTGGGATGGAGAGGCTACTGGGACCCCACTGGAGGCTGGACTGGTTCTTGCCCTGGGTCAGCATCTTCTGAGATGTCTTGTGGGTAAGTGAATGTATGTCCACTTCAGTTAGAACGGATACCAATGTCCCATTTCTCAGATTCACAGGACATCTGAGGACTGAGCAAGACCAATACACTTGTTTTGTTTCCAGTCCCCAGGCTAGAGACTTGGATGTCTGTCCACGCCTGACAGCTGAACTTCTACAAAACTCTATCCGTATGGCTGGCCCTTCCTGCAAGAAGTCATCTTGAGCCTCCCTGGTGGTTAAGATTGCTGTCAGGCTCTCCATCATTGCTCTCTCACATTGGGCCCAGGGCTGTCTTCCCTGAGGACAGGGGCTCCATGAGGATAGATTCAGGGACTGAGGCCTTTCTGTGACCCAGTGGCTAGTACTGTCTTCCTTGCCTGAAGTCCGCTTCCTTTATTGTCCCTGTCCCTTGTAGTTTTCCTGGAAGGCCAAGACTCAAAGAGGGCAGCTGCTGAGCTGCCACACATGGTTCCACAGGGACCCTAGCCCAGGGCCAGGCATGTGAACTATGCTCACACAGTGCCCAGTGTCAATCACTGTTCAGCTTGCAGTGCCCAGAAAATTGCACACACATTTATTTGGTTGGCATCAGGGTCTCCTGTAGGATCCAGTCTGCGTCTGCCTCCTTCAGGCGGTCCCCAGTATCATATCACATGAATTCTCTAGGAGGCTACACAAGAAAGACTCTATTACTGAACCTGTGAAAACTCCTAGCCCCCAGGGCAACCCTATCACCTGGCCCTTCACCTTCCCACTGAAAGGGCCACTTGAGGATCTTGGAGGAGAGGGACCCTCCTGGACAGATAAGGGTTTATACCATACCCGGAAACCCCGGACAAAGCCATATCTTGGAACCTTGTTTTTTTTCCCCTCTGGAAAATAGAAGGACAATTTTTGTGACAACAGAGTATTAAGCAGCTATGCATAGTATATATTTAAGAAATGTTTATTCCACTGGGATTGGAAAGCAGGACCTGCTTCCAGAGGATGAGTTGAGATCTAGGGCCCCCATGGGGTCAGGGTTGGGGGTCCTGAAGATCCTGGGAAGAATTCCTGGAGTAGGGATCATCAGAGCTAAGCCCCCAAAGCTGAGGCATTTACAATTAGAGTAAGAGCTAAGGGCTAGGAGGTAGAAAGAGAAACAAGGGCAAGGTGGGACCCCCCCCATCCCAATGTGTTCCTCTGTCTGTCTGTCAGGATGCTCAGAAGTACACAGAGCCCTCGCTGTCTCCTCGGTTGTCGAATTTCTGGATCTGCGCCTTGAGGTGCCTTAGTTTGTCCTTCAGGTAGCGGCAGCGAGCCTGCTTGTCCAGAAAGCTGGGGTCCTGGGCAGGATGAGAGCCAGGGAAGTCCTTGTGGTAGTCTTGTCTATGGCCCTCAAGCTGCTTGACCCTTTGTTTTTCCTCTCTGAGCCTTGGTTTCCTTTCTGTGAAACTGGGTACTTATGGGAGTGTCAGGGATGCAAAGGTCAGTCTGTGGGATTCAGGAGGCCATGACTCACCGTCTGCTTCTTCTCAAATTCCCTCCAGACACGGGCAGCTACTTGAGCCTCCTTCTGCAAGGGGAGAAGGAGGAGGGAGACTCAGGGAGCACTAGACCCAAGAAGAGATGGGGAAACTGAGGCTCAGACACAGTGACTCATTTAGAAAGCACTTTAGGACTGATGTTGGCTCATGTGCTGTGGTGACTGCCCAGCCTGGAGGAAGAGGGTTTGGAGATCTAGACCCAATGGGTGTGCTAAAGGACAGTGTCTGGCCACCTGGAAGGGCTGTGGGACAGGGGTTTCCACCTGGTTGCTGACCTGGCTTCGGGCCGGGGGCAGTGAGGTCAGCAGAGCCTCCAGCTGCTGGAGTTTAGCCTGTGCAGAGTCCAACTCCTGCTGGAGCTCCAAGAACTCTGCATACTGGTCCTGGAACACAGCAGCGTAGCAACTCCGTTCCCTCTTACTACTCACTGCTGGGTACTTACTGCTGGGGGTTGGGGGTGGGGGTTGAAAGCAGGACAGAGTGTGAGTGTAAAGAACCCCCCTGCCTTTCCCCCAATCGGTGTAGTTTGTTTTTCTTTGCTCATGCTGGGCTCACTGCTCAAAATGCCCTTTTCTCTTACTAATTGGTCAATTCTTATTCACTGGTCAAAGCCCCTTCCCTGTCCCCAGGCATCAGCAATCACATAGGGGACACTCACAGCTCATAGTCCCGCACTGGGTGGGACCTAGGCATATGCCCCCCAAGGATGTATCCAACAGGCTTCTTGGTGCCCTGGAGGGTCCGGGAGGGCAGTTCATCCTCAAATACAATCTTCTTGGGCCTTGCCCTGTGAGCTTCCGGCTGCGGTTAGCACAGAGAACGGGGACGCTGGTTTCGAGTTAACGAGGCTATCGGGAAGCCGGGATCCTCTAAACTGGGGGTAATGAATCCTCTGCCTAGGCTCGGCCTGGGGACCCTCCTCCAGTTCAGACTCACCGGGGGCCCCGGGCCAGGCGGGCGGAGCTGAAGGCCCCCCCGGGAGCCGTGGGTGTGGCGGGGCCCCCGGGTGGGCATCGACCTCGGGAAGGGGCCACTCGGGCGTCCCGGGGCCGACGGGCGGGTCCTGCGCGGGCCGTC